AATGGGTGTCATATCACTACTTCACAGGCAGCCTTTCCGTGCATGGTAATTTAGATTTCAAGTGTTTGAATAAACAGAGAGAGCTAAATAATCTATAAATACAACCTTTAACAAAAGAGTGAATTTATCATCAACCTCCTACCAAACACATACACTGTTAATGTTTGATACAGTTTCATGTTTTCTCCCATAAATCATCTTTATTTTTTGTTTTTTAATGTTGCTGAAAATAGAATAATTTACTGATTATATCTGGTTTGTGGTAGATGAATACTCATCAAAATAATTTGTCTGGAAATTAGCTCACTCAATTACCTCTTAAATCTTCTTGATTCTATGACAATTCATTTTAATCTTGTTAATTAAATTCCACAAATATAATTTAATGATTAAATGATCTAGCTAAAAGACTCCCCATTGGCTTATAAACTTTGTAACTATTAGAATAACTCTATATACACTGACAGGAAGAGACAAGGCCCCTATAGCTCAATTCAATTAAAAATTGATTCTCTTTATTTCTTTATTGTTTATCAATACTGGTAGTGTATCTACATTTCTTAAAACAACAATTATTCATTAAAATTTCATGACCCTATTATTCATTTTTTTTCAATTTTGTATATAAGTAGTAATTCTTTTACATCAATGTATCAAAATATCTTTGATCGTTACATCTACTAATTCATCACTTTCAACTCATTGAATGGCTGTTATTTTAATCCTTTGAAGCTGGAAATGTGTTGTAAAATTTGTTACATAGAAGCAAATAAACTATCGTGTTATAAAACCCTGACAGTCTCAACAAGACTCAACAAGAGATTCCAGAGGGATCTTGGCACCCACCATTGTTTGGTCTTTATTTGCTTTTTGAAAGTTGGATCTTTACCCTTCTTTTCTATTCTTTCCTCTGTTCTTCTTTTGCAGTATATGAAATTTGAAAACGCCTTAAGGAATAGCAATCTTTAATCCAGCACTTCTCAAGAAATAGCAATAAGAAGAATTGTTTAAGGACAGACCATGAAAAACAGATTGACCAAGAAAAACAGATTTTGACATAAGACGAATAGCCAACCATCTTCAAATAGTGGTTGATGATGGTGGGCTAAAAAATGTAATACTGAAGGCAATGAAAAAGCAATTGTTCCTACATGTACTGAAAATTAATAGATATGCTAGAAAAAAATCTTATTTCAAGAAGCAATGAAATATATTTTTGAATCCAACAACTGTCATATGTGTTAAGACTGAATATTTTTTGTCATAATAAAACTAATTTCAACATTTTCACTACCTAAACATAATTAAGAAGAAATCTGTCTATTTCGAACTACCTTTATCAACATATAAAGAAATTTGTCATAAATTATCTTCACTCACCACAACAGCTTGATGTGACACTGATAGCTTTTTTTCTGGTTATGTAATGGAATAGATCTTCTAAAACTTAAGCTGGTAATTTCTGAAATTTTCTCTTCCTATCAGGTTGTTGAACAATCTGACACTGTTAGACAAAACTTCTTCAAGCAAGGAAAGATAACTCTTAAAAACAGCAAAGGTATCAAAATAAAGTTATGAATACTGTTGTTGTTACTAATACAACAAATCAAAGGATAAATTTGCACTTCATTATTTTATTCTTGAAATTAACTTAGTTAAAAATTGATTAAGTAACCAGTTCTATTACAACATTAGCTACTACAATACCAAAACAATATCAAAACCACTACTGATTTATTTTATCAAATACAGATATGCTTCATATACACAATAAAGAAAAGCTATTTCAATTTTTTATATTTCTAAATTCTTAAAAAATTTATATATTCATGTTGAAATCTTGCTTATATTTCTCACCTGGGAATGAGACTATGATTTATTCACAAAATAATGGCTTCCTAAAATTTGTTTTAAATTCTTTTCCAATATTTAGTTCTTAACCAATTTTTTTTCAAACTTAATTCCATAGCCTTTTATAGCAGCAATCTATATTAAATCATCAACATAAAATAACAACAGTATTTTCTGGATTATAAGTCGCATCTTTTTTCCTCATGAGTCAGACATGCAACTTATATACCGGTGCAGCTTATACGTGGAGGAAAAAAGTGGACAGGATGAAAAAAAGATCAGGAAGTATACCAGTACACCAGTACGAGAAGGTACAAAGTTTTTTCTACAGTACCGGCTGTTACATGCTTATGACTGAAACAGATCATCTGGAACTGTCATTTGCAATCATATACAGGATGATTTGATAATTGAAACAAAAAAAACATTCTCATGGATTTAATTAATCATACATCACTTCTAAATTATTTTAGCTATGATAAACACACTTGATCAGCACTATTTAGTGTTTGTTTATAGGTATAATATTTTGACTGCTGTTTACAACATAAAATGGAAATGTCACTACAGACCAAAATACATCATTTCCAGGATCTGAACAACAACAACCAAAAAAGCAGAGAAGTATGAATGACTTGTCCAGACAAGAACCTAGTGGGCTAATGGCACTGACCATGGACATGTCAGTATAATCAAAAAGGTTCCGACTATGATTTCCATTTCTGTGTATGTTGTGAAACGTACTGTTCATAGTTTTATATATAATGCAGACTTGAGACAGAATGCTGACTGCAGTGCAAGCCTTCAGCCCAAAATAATGTAAAGTTGGAAATATTGGTTGGATTTGAATTTCAATTTGTACAGTGATATTCGTTACACTTTATATTATTTCCATGTTATTAATTTCATATATAAACATGCTATTCTGTATTATTGGTTGTGAAACTCATAAACAGCTAGACTCCAGACTGTACAATATCATATGAGTCTTAGTTTTACAATAAATTTTGTTTAATTTTCACTTCATTTTAAAATTGCTTTAAAAGGTAATTAATTAATTCAACAATGATATAATTTTCTTGGTTTCATCAGTAAGTTTGACACACTTCACACATCGTTGTTGAAAAAAATTGTTATATCTTTAGCCTTAGGTCCAAAAATGTAGGTTCATATATATAGCTATTTACCAAATTTAAGTGTCTGTATTTTCACAAACTGGAGTTTTAATTTGAGACACTTTGTCATTAATTTTCACATAACCAAAATACTGCCTTGTCACTTGGAACTATTTTTAACATGCCACTACCTTCTGACATATTGTTTATCGAAATGGGTCATTTCAGGGATGGGTCTAAAACATGGACCTGTAGTTAAACAAGTCGTCACCTCACTTATTATAGTTTGTAGATTTAATTGGAAACAATGGTATAACATTTATAAAAGGTATAAACTCACATTGATGTAACAAATTCTATTTCCATTCGAAGTAGGTGATTGTACTGTTCTTGTATTTTGCACTACCTCCAATTAAGGTCCCAAAGACACTTTCATAAATAAACGAAGGCTAGCTTGCAGTTGTCTGAAAAATCTCACTCTAAAGCAGCTTTTTTATTTAGTAAAAAACAAAATATCATTAAAAATTAATAGTTGAACAAACTATTGTGATAGTAATTGACTTGAAAATATGCTATCTACCTATTGCTATTGAGAGCAATCATTACACCACTATACATTAATAAATTTATGATATGGATGTAGTCTTGATCAGCCTGTGAAAAATTCTTTTGGAAGTGAAATGCATGGAGCATCGGAGAGTGAAAGGCATGGATCATAGGTGCTTTGCACTTTACCTATAGCTAAATTTAGTGATAATGACAAAAGCTATGTCAGCATTTTTGCTTTCTTGCATTTTTTTTTACTTCCTTTTAATTCTAACTAAATATAATATGGACAGGTTGATGTGGCTTGTATATAGTGTTAAATAAAATCTCTACACTCAGCTGAAGGAGCATGCTTCTTTGGCTCAGTTGATATAGCCGGTCGATTATCATGTCAGAGACAAAGGTTCGATTCCTGGTCTGAGCACTCGACAGGAATGTGTATTTTCCCTGTTCTTTCACATTGGCGACTAATGAATCCCCTAAGTTGTGGTATTTGGAATGTCCGGTTGAGATTTTGGAAATCTCAAGAAAAACAAGGAAATAGTGTAATAGGAGCGGATTGGTGTGGCTTGTATATGGTGGTAGATACGGTCTCTGTCACTCGGCTGACAAAGTATGCTTCTTCGGCTCAGCCAGAGAATGGATTTGATTCCTGGTCAAGGCACTTCAGAAATGTGTATTTCTCTATTCTTTCACATAAACATAAAGATGATTTTACACAAATGAAATTAGCATGAATTAAAATTTCTTTACTCCTCTAAGTGCTCTGCATAAAACATCAACCAATATCTTGACGTCATCAACACAGACACAAAAAAACGTCAATGTGATGATATTTATGTGATCGATCCCTCACTGTAGCACACCAAAATTTCTTCATTTCTTGAAGAAACAACCAGTTGACCAACATCTATTGGTACTTTACTTTCTTGAAACTTTCAACCAACAGTGTCATTATGTCATGTAAGCTTCGCTCTTATTAGTCACTGCCTGACTTATAATTAGTTGATTAATTTACAAGCTGGTAAGGCTAATCCAACAGTAACAAGAAAAAAACTCATAAAATCACATTTTGACAGCAGAAATTTAGCAGACGAAAACTCCCCCGTCAACACAAAAAGACTGTAAAGAGAAAAAATGTGACAAATATCCAGCGTTACTGATCACGAACACCATGGTATTAATCGAATTAAGAACAACCTGAAAAATGAAGTCAATTTAAGAGAAAATAGTAGAGAAATCGCCTACCTTTTAACGCTAGCATATGCTCTTTCTCTCTTGAGCCTTCCATGATGTCGCATAAGTTCAGTCCGCAGAAATTCTATTTCCGGTTCAAAACACTTTGTGTGAAAGGAGAGATAAAGTTGAAATGACGATTGCATGTCTATATCTTATTATTGAAATTAATGTACACTCAATTACAAAATGTGTTGTTATTTCTACAATAATTGTCAAGCATTTACTGCTGAAGATGTAAATGTTGATGTGATGGCTTCCGGTGGTTTGCAGTCTGTCAATTTCTCCAGCTCATCACCATCCCTTCAATGCAGCGAAGATACAGACAATGTTCGTATATATCACTTGCCGTGTAGTAAAACAAGTGTCATCCATGGAATTTGTTTCAAATGATATATAGTGGTTCCTGTTTCTCACAGACTTTACGAAACTGCATCACTAAATACAGCTGACTGACATAATGATTTTGGCACGACCAATTCAATTAATTCTCAGACTCTTATATTTTCGTCTGAAAGTCAGTTACAATAGTTGAATGCAAACAATAACCCGTGCATGGGCCTATGTAATTAGTAAGGATATAACACCCTTGCATTTAACCCTGTCTAACTGATATTACTATTATTTACATATATCTTTTTAATTATATCTATCCTGCAACTGGCGCTGCCATTGTCGGAATACCCCTGCCAGATATATATTTGCTGTATTCGGCAATGATGGAAAACATCTGTATTTTAGCATAAATTTGATGAAATTACTTTAAAACTACGTTTAACAATAACTGTTTTAGTAACAAAGTTATATTTGAAAATTCATAAAATCACTGTCATATTCATTGAAATTTGGACATATTATTTTGTGGAGGGCAATTATTTTCATCAAGCAAAATCTGGCATAACATCAACATTCTGATTTCCAAAATAGTTGACAAATTCAACAACCACAGGCAGCGATAACTGGCGATAGGAAATGTTGGTGTCTCCTAAAATTGAATTAAGAATTAAATCACAGACAAAAGATTAAACTGAAAACTACTTATCTTTCATGCAAAAAAAGTCTCTCGGTCCCCCTTCCTTACAAGATGTGTAATCAATTAGGTGCTTGATCACTTCATTTGTCAATGTACAGACAACAAGTGTCTGATTGAGTGAGACTACAGATATCCAAGTGAATAGGATTTAACAGTAGTAAAAACAAGAGATGTTCCAAAGCTAGTCATCATGCATGAAAAATGCAGGTTATTTGATAATCAGATGAGTCAAACAGGTGTCATGAAAGTGTAAATATTGATTGACCCTGGGAAATTGGATGAGTTGGCAATACTTTATCTTATTAAAAAAATTTGTTAATACGGTTGTATAAACAACAGTTGTTTGATGGACATAATGATGATATAAAGGAAGAAGGATAATATTGGTTATTGGATATTTCAGATGCAATACATTGCACCGCCCCTAATTAGTTGCATTGCACCACCCTAATTAGTTCACATTTGTGTTGCTTAGTCTTTAGATACAGCTCATCTTCAATCCCTTTTACTGTCTGCACACCTGGAACATTTCCTAGCAGAAGTAAAGAAACATCATGCAAAGTAGTTTGTTTGGTCTAAAGTGGATTTCAAGAATGTTTGGTCTAGAGTGGGTTTCAAGAGAGAAAAAAAAACTGACCAATCACAGACTGATACTTTTCTTTGAATATTACAAAGAAGCAACACCCAACTTCAAAGTTATTACAATATACCATTATGCAACCTCAAGATTCGTTAGATGTATATCAGAGGATCAACTTGTCTATCCGCTAGGTGTCGTACATAAAAAATATTTGTCAAAGAAAAATTATTCGGAATCAAATATTTTACTAGCATTATTAGTATTATTCATTTCCAGACCCCTTTAGTTTGTTTCATGTTATTTCCTTTTTGTATCCCCGTGTGTTTAACTGGTTGATGGCCCTGATGACCTTTTACGTGTTGACAGGCCCTTAAGAATGTCATAATGATAATAATAATAATATCATTTCCAGACTATTTTAGAATGTAGAGTGTGTGATGAGGTGTTCCGTTTCCAAGGGGACAAAGTGCCACGTCTGCTTGTTTGTGGCCACACTGTGTGCCATCAATGTCTAACGCGGCTACCTGTCCATGGATACAACATCCTGTGCCCATTTGACCGGCAACCAACAGAGATCGGTGACTCTGGAGTGTGGGGACTGAAGAAAAACTTTGCACTACTAGAACTGTTGGAAAAACTGCAACAATCCAAACAAATTCCTCTTAGTAGAAATTTGTTTACAGAAGAATGTTTAGCAAGAGAAAAACAGGTGATTATACAAGTATATATTAAGTCTGACCATTGTAGGGATTATTCAATCACAAGAATACTAGATTGGTCCAGGTTAATTTCAGTTTAATAAAATTCATTTCAAGAAATTTTGCTGTAACAATTTGTACAGTTTGAAAATGAGGTGATATCTAGAGGAGTATATATTTCATATGGATGAAGTAATCAATAGAAAAGTGATTGATCTTTTGATTACATACTTTATTAAATGTTATTGTTCTCCTAAATGAACCCACAAAGACATCTAAAATTATCTGATACAGACCTGAAGAAGTTTCAATTTACTTAGGGCTGTAACAATATTTTAGAATTCTGTAACAAAAAATTATATAGCTTTATTTTTTTTACATTTTCTCTATCTTGTGTGTTTTGACAGCATGATATATCATGTGACGAGGATGAAACTCATATAGCAGTCCTTTACTGTACCGTGTGCAGTACACATCTGTGTGTAGAATGCTCACTGCGCACACATTCCACACGAACTCTTGCCCGCCACAAACGTGTCCCCATCTCTGAGAAGCCTAAAGAAAATCCAAAATGTGTGTACCATCCCATGCATTTAGTGGAGTTTGCCTGTTTGGAGGATGAATGTCGAAATAGTCCACTAATGTGTTATATATGTAAGGACTACGGACGCCATGTCAAACATCGGGTAAGTACAGAAAACTGCTGTTACCTGAGGTTGTTATCGGATTTGTAAAAAAAAATTTCAAACATGTTTGATAAGTCTTTTTATCAAATTTTATCAAATGTTAAGTATTTTGGTTTTGCAATAATCCTGGAAGAGTGCTGTAGGATCTTTGCGTAGTCCATCAAAATTAACCCTGGTTATTTTCTGTTTTCTCTTAATTTGACATAAAATCATTAGTCTAATTTTGATGTCAGTCTTTACTGAAAACACACGTTTGTCAACATCTTGAAATTTATTTGAGATTTTCTTGGATGTTATGCAGATTCTTTATCAAATACAAAAGACCAAAGACAACATGTTAAATTTTATGAAATTCAGTAACTGAAAATCTAAAATTATGTATAATGTAAGTAGGGGTCAGTCTCAACAAGCTTTGAATAAGTTTGCATTTCCTTACAACACAATAGTAATTTTGTTTCATTTATTTCACCGTAAAAATATTTATCATTACTCTATGTAAATTTTAATTCAGCACGCACTGCTGGAAACAGAAGCTGAGAAAGTTCGCTCCTCTATATCAAATGCAGTTCAACAGACTCGACTGTTTGGGGAAGAGGTTGCAGATACTGTCAGGAAACTGCAGACATGTATACAACATGTTGAGGGAGATTTACAACACATGGTATCAGGGGATGGATCTAGTGTGTCAAATAGGGTATGATTGACCAAGCAAATCATGAACAAAAGCGTTTTTGGGAATCTGAAATATAGAAATTAAGTTCTTAAATACAGGAAACTAAAATGAATGAGTTGCATTCAGTCAATTAAGATTTTCCGATCACAGGCTGTCATGTGCTGACTTGGTTGTGTCCATCGGCAAGACAATTCACCCCATCTGCTCAGGATGCCATATGATGGTTGTTTCACATTATGTTCAGATAGGTAGCTACCAACTATTACAAGGAAACCCAATCTTAAAATGTCTTTGACCATATTCAGGATAAAAGAACCATCAAACAGTAATTGTTTGTGGCCTTTTATTTGTTTTAGCATAATTGAAATATTGATTTTTTACCTAGGCACCAGGTACTGCTGATCTATCACGGACCAAAATAAAGCAATACTTTAGTGAACTCCGTGATAATCTAAACCGCCAGGAGGTGGCAGCACTGACAACAGTTGACACTCACATTCGGGAAAAACTCTGTATGCTGCGGCAGCAACAGGAGGATATGGCTGTTCTTTTGTCACAGATATCAGCTGTGTGTCATCAGTGTGAAGCCACATTACAGCAGGTCAGTTATCAATAGAATGTTATTTCCCTGACAGTATTATATTTTGCTATACTCACATAGTTTTGCCCATGGCTTTAATTCTTCATTAATTTTTTCCTACTCTGTAACTCTATGACGGATGGAAATTTAACTGTATTTCGGTATGTTGTTGTGTAAGGAGAAAAAACAGGTCAATTTCTTACTTTGCCGATTTTTCCATTGTTATGTCAATTCACAGCAAAATAGTATGACAATAACTATACAACCATGCCCAACTGCAGTGGAAGTTTATTAAATTAGAACCATTGAAGTCTAGGAATCTGGACACACTAGTTTTTTAATGTATTGTTGATGTTGTCTTTGTGATCCCCAGATACCTTTACCCCAAAAAAGGAAACCTTTAACAATCTATGTAGGAACTTTTATATCTGGGTGTAATGTGGCCATGGGCTTATTAAAAAATGTTTTTGATAATTTGAGATATTTGGTGATAGGATGACACTCGAGTATTACTTGCCAAATCAGAGGTGAAGACATTACTCGACACGATACAAAAACAACAACAGCAGTTCTCAGAAGTACCAGACCAGCTGCCCCTTGACCCAACCATTCCAATCACATTTACCAAGGTGAGAGAAAGCATCCTTTTTTGATTAACAGAATCCTATTGAGGAATTGTTGAAAAGTTTGAGTTCTCTGTCTTCAGAGGGGATTAGTGTTGAATTTTGTTGACTCACTTTATACCACTGATAATGCAAAGAAATTACTGTAGAATCTCTAGGTATAACTCTGACAACTTTACATGTATATTGGGTTATTCTAGATATATGCCAGGTCAGAATGTGTGTGAAGATGCTTTTCCATCACCTATGACTAACAAGCGTATTTCATTTAGACCAATTATACATAAATTATTTTCGACCCATCCATTCTAATAACATGAAATGTAACTGTACCATCAAAGGGGTCATAATACCTCATTGGAAGAAAGTTTGCCAACACATTCTCACATGAAGTTCAAAATGTGTGATTCAACATTTCCTACCCTACTGGTTTGTGTTTCTCAGGAAGTAGAGAAACAGGCCAGTCTGTGCTGTCTTTGATGCTTCCTTGGGTAAGACACTTTGCATGGCACATGACAGGCCTTCCTTTTTTGTATTTTGAGGTAGCCACCAGCTGCTTCCAACAGATTCTGTCTTAAAATGACCCTGGCTGGTCACAGGGTTGTAAACCTTGCAGTAAACCCTGCAAACATTATAAATATACAACCCTAGAAAAACTCAGCAGTGTTCTGTTACCAGAAGTGGTCTCTGAATGAAAGATGTCACTTTACAGAGGTGTTCACTTGACTGATTTGACAATAGAAGTATAATAATTTAGAGAGGTAATCTCCAGATATTTATCAAAGTGGTCAGTTATCTGAAGTGATCTCTTTATAGAGCATTGCTTGTGATTTATAGTTCAGCTAATTGGGAGAAAAATGGTCTTTTTACAGAGGTTATCTTTTACAATTTAAATGTTTCATAAACAGTTACTTCCTTCAGGATGAGGAAAAAGTAGTCTGTACACTACAACAGAAAGGATTGCTCAACACAATATCTTAAGCCCATTGGATTATACAGGCAGTTTAGTCAAATCTGCCTTAAAGATCACATTTATGTAAAAGCCACCTGTTAATAAAAGCCTTTTGTAGGTTCTAAATGCTATACAATATTCAACTTAGTTGTCTGTAAAAAGACCACCTGTCTATAAAGACCACTTTTTTCTGATTGAGTGGCCTTTATAAGGTTAGTTTGTACTTCTGGAATAATCCTGGCAGGCAGATTTATACATAATGAACTTTACAAATACAGAAAAATAGTGGTGTGGTTTGAAGTGATGATGCACTACTGTATAAGAATTTATGAATACAACAGCTATATTTTCCGAAGAACAAAAAATAAGGTAATGTGTTGTTTCACCAACAGGATAATCGAGTCCATATTGGTCCTAAGATTGAAATGCGGGTCGTCATTCTAGGCTTAGATGGAGCCGGAAAGACTAGTATATTATTTAAACTGAAGCAGAATGAGTTTATACAAACCATTCCGACTATTGGTAAGAGCATTGTGTTTGAAGATAGTGATTGTCTCAAACCATATCAATATATTCATTAGGAAGACAACATGTCAAGAAGAAGCCATATGAAGCATTTTGTCCCTTTTTTTATTTTTTAAAATTATATCTTCCTTAAAAGTCTCTGAAATACTAATGTGATAGTTGACAATATCGTTTCCAACCACAAAATAGCATAACAACTGTGAAAATATTAATCTGCTGGTGCATAGCCATATTGATTAATTCTATGCCAATTATGTCAATAATTTGAACATATTTCACTGATGCAGGTTTTAATGTGGAAACTGTTGAATACAAGAATGTCAAGTTTACTATCTGGGATGTTGGTGGACAACACAAGATCAGACCACTGTGGAGACACTACTATTTCAATACCCAAGGTAAAAAGCACAACAACAATAGGCTCTTATTAATCTTGATACATACATAAAAAACATCTGTAACAGTAGACCTTCATCAATCTAGATACCTAGGTGAAAATCCCTACAGCTGTAGTCTCTAGCTCATCTAGATACCCAAGACCTTTATATATCTGGATACCCAAGTAAACCCCTACAGTTCTAGACCCTCATATATCTGGATACCCAAGGTAAAACCTCTACAGCTGTAGACCCTCATATATCAGGATACCCAAGGTAAAACTCCCCTACAGCTGTAGACCCTCGTAAATCTTCATACCTACAGTAAAAACCCCTAAAGCTGTAGAACCTCATATATCTGAATGCCCAAAATAAAACCTCTACAGCTATAGACCCTCATATATCAGGATACCCAAAGTAAAACCTCTACAGCTGTAGACCCTCAAATATCTGGATCTAAGGTAAAACCTCTACAGCTGTAGACCCTCATATATCTGGATACCCAAAGTAAAACCTCTACAGCTGTAGACCCTCAAATATCTGGATCTAAGGTAAAACCTCTACAGCTGTAGACCCTCATATATCTGGATACCAAAGGTAAAACCTCTACAGCTGTAGACCCTCACAAATCTGGATACCCAAGATAAAACCTTTACAGCTGTAGACCCTCATATATCTGGATACCCAAAATATAACCTCTACAGTTGTAGACCCTCATATATCAGGATACCCAAAATAAAACCTCTACAGCTGTAAACCCTCATATACCTGGATACCCAAGGTAACACCTCTACAGCTATAGACCCTCACAAATCTGGATACCCAAGGTAAAACCTCTACAGCTGTAGACCCTCATATATCAGGATATCCAAGGTAAAACCTCTACAGCTGTAGACCCTCGTAAATCATCATACCTAAATAAAAACCCCTAAAGCTGTAGACCCTCATATATCTGGATACCCAAAGTAAAACCTCTACAGCTGTAGACCCTCATATATCTGGATACCCAAGGTAAAACCCCTACAGCTGTAGACCCTCATATATCTGGATACCCAAGGTAAAACCTCTACAGCTATAGACCCTCACAAATCTGGATACCCAAGATAAAACCTCTACAGCTGTAGACCCTCACAAATCTGGATACCCAAGATAAAACCTTTACAGCTGTAGACCCTCATATATCTGGATACCCAAGGTAAAACTCCTACAGTTGTAGACCCTCATATACCTGGGTACCCAAAATAAAACTCCTACAGCTGTAGACCCTCATATATCAGGATACCCAAGGTAAAACCTCTACAGCTGTAGACCCTCATATATCAGGATACCCAAAGTAAAATCTCTACAGCTATAGACCCTCATATACCTGGATGCCCCAAGTAAAACCTCTACAGGTGTAGACCCTCATATATCAGGATATCCAAGATAAAACCTCTACAGCTGTAGACCCTCATATATCTGGATACCCAAGGTGTTAACCACTAAAGCTGTAAATTCTTGTAAATCTGGATACCCATGATAAATCACTGCCAGTAGAACTTCCTGTCACCACTAATCTAGATGCCCCAGTATTCTGCCTACATTTTTTGGGAACATATTGGCCTGTCCTATCTAAAATTAAGACTATAAGACTCTTTTCTATATGGGTATGTTGGATAGGGATATTCCACCCGAGGGGTCACAAAATATGGTAAAACCCGAGGCTTGCCGAGGGTTTTTACCACATTTTGTGATCCCGAGGGTGGAATATCCCTATCCTACAAACCCATATAGAAAAGAGTTTTTTTCTCTCATTTTTAATCTCATATTATCAAATATTTGCACTCACCTCGCGGTAGCCAGCACTGGATGCCGCCATTTTTCAGAATTCTATTTTTTCCCCTTGGGTTATATACATAAAAAATTACTGAAATAGATTCTCCATCCCCAAATTTTGCAAACTATGTTTGCGGTCGTAAACATAATATGGACGCATACGCGTTCAAATATAGTGCCTTAAAACACGCAATAAAACAACATTTTTCTTTTTGATATTTACTATTGTTCAATGCATAATATACCATAAACACATTTAACATCTTTGAACATGTTGTTCAAGTTATTAATACTACTTTACTGTCAATAGTAATCTTACAAATCTTACACATTTATGAATGGAATTCTTGGTTTGCTTGTGAGATGACGTCACTTACGTCACACATTTCGCGCCATACCGACAGGAGGAAAGTTAGTCACTGTCACTTTCAATCACACGTGGACGACGGTGGAAAGGCTGAGTCCCAGGGTTGGTGATGTTGATATTTATAGAACAATTTTGTAAATACGACCCTGCAAACAACGACTCCAATCGACTATGCGTGTTTGTGGATGAAGCGGTTGACGAGGACATAGTCGATGAGTGCGAGGGAAAAAACTATGAATTACTCCGCGCGCGAGGCTTTATTACACAGGCGCCTGTGTAATAAACGTCTATCATGACCATGTTTATTACCCTGGACAGGCCTATCTGACACAGGTGGAAATGAGAGAAAGGTTTATATTGTACAATATAGCGGTAATTATATGCACTTTATCATGCCTCTAGAATAGAAAAAATAGAAATATTCGTCTGTCCATAAATTTGCATGTCAGAAACTTTTAAACAACATTGAAACTCATTATATATTACTAGGAGTAAAAAGGTATCAAACATCAATTATATGCATACATCTGTGATTCTGTGATATAACCTTTTATATCATGTAATTTTTATGGTCTCTCCTGCTGTTATTTTGTGATATATACTTTGATAATGTGTGATTTGTATGGTCTCCCCAGCTGTGATATTTGTGGTGGACGGAAGTAACAAAGGGAGATTATCCGAGTCCTATAATGAATTAGCCAAGCTGGTGCAGGAAAAAGAACTAAGGGAGGCTTCACTATTAATCCTAGCTAATAGACAGGTAGGTCATGCACCCACCAATCAGCATAAGGGTTATATTTGTATACACCATTCAGGTTTATTCAGTTAAATTTACATCCACTAAATCAGAGTCAGTGTTACATTTGCATCAACCTATCACAATCAGGATTACATTTTACATCTCTCTATCATCATCAAGATTGTATTTTTGTCGACCAATTTCTGTTCCGAATTGATATTAATGTATTATACTACTCAGTTAATTTGTAGCTAAATAATTGATTACATATTGCAGAGTCAGCTATTTGGGTTTTTTTTGTACACTCTACTCATTACAGCCAATACAACGGCAGTCTGCATTTGTTATTTCAATTGTTGACATCATTGGTCTTGATTATTCTTACTGAATCTATCAGGAAAGCTGTTGTTAAAGAAAAATACTAATGTGTCCACTGTTTCTTTTCACATTTGTTTCTTCTCTGGACTCAAGTATACTATTAAGTTTAACATATTTACAAATATTTACTATTTCTTCACTTATTCAGATATCCTTAACATGTTTGTCTAACCCACTAAAAGTGATTGATATTTGAAGTACATAGCTTTTGTTGATGTTGATAATATTACTGTAGCTATATTGATCTTTTTTTATATGGTACAGGATATACAACCCAGCGTCTCCATTGAGGAGATCACAGAGACATTTAGTCTCTTCAAGCTCTGCTGTAACCGTAGTTGGCACATCCAGGCGTGTGATGCCAAGACTGGAAACGGACTCCATGATGGCCTTGAGTGGTTATCACGGCAAATGGTGGCTGCTGGTGCTCCAGAACTAGTTTGATGCTTCCCTATAAGCCATAGACTATAAAATGGCTTTCACAACTGGCTGTGAGTTTGTGTTAAGTGAAGGAACTAACAACTGAGAGTGGTACTCTATACCGGGATATTTTCGCCCAAGGTCTTTTTCACTTTAGTACCATTATACATGAATTCACCTCATGCTTTATCACTCGCTGAGGATTATACAAAAGGACAAAAAGAGCAAATATTAAATGGGGTCAAAAATTTCTCGGTACACAGTATTTTGCATTAGTCATCACATTGTGTACTGGTTTAGTGTATGAAAAGGGTGCGTTAGTTTTAAGTGGGTAATGAAACAGCCAACAAAATGGTTTATATGTATCTAGCCCCACAAAACTTCTGATCAGGAAGAGTATTTTTATTTCCTCTAGATGGTTCTCAAGAATTTGGTCTTTTATATCCCAATTTTAATAAATTCAATAATAGAATGATCCACTTGTCTCAGCAGGGCTTTTCACTGAAATATAGCGTTTAAAATAAAAATCAAGAATTCTTTCTGAAGTTAAGTTTTCTAATCTTGGGGCATAGGTAATTTTTTTATAACTTTGCAGAAGTGTATTTAAAAAGGTTGCTTTGTGTATTTATTTTCTGCTTCAAGAAACTCTTTTTCTTTGTACTTTCCATAAATACAAGTGCTTACATTTTTCACTGAATTTTTCATAAATACAATTTTGAATAATCGCTTATATATGTTTTTGTCATTGCATTTATTGAAGTGATCTAAAAGGAATTGGTGGAAAGTCATTTGAAAGATCTGAATTCTGTGAAAATTTATGAAATATCTATATATATCATCAATGAATTGATAATCACATTGATTCAAACAAAATTTAGTATCTGCCTTGAAACCAATGTGAGATGTTAAAACATCACGCAAAAATCAGTTTAAATATGTATTTAAATAATTTCATTGATAATTAATATATTAGTATTGATCATACGTTTGACAATACAGCATTACCGGTCACAAATTTGAAATGAAAATGAATTCCTTTATACAGAGTAGCTCCCCTTGTATCATATTTGTTGTGATAGAAGAGAATATCCAGTTCTCAGTTTGTTTTTTTTTTTTATTACTTGGAGTTATAACAGGTGTTAGTATCATTATTTTGTCATCATGAGTGCAATATCACAGTTGACTTCTTTAATCGAAAAATTTATTTTTAATGGAATACATCATACTGATATGGAGAGTAACAGACAAGTTTTGAATGTAACATATCACATCATAAAACATTTAAACTGATTTTGAATTAATTTTTCAGATAAATTCTTTTCCATATGTATGAGTGCAAGCTTTCTTACAACTTTTATTTTCTGTATGAAAACATTGTTATATGTTTTTTTTTCCATCTAGGAAACCTAACCATCTCCGCCCTCATAAAATATATTATATGATCAATGACAGTACGGACAAGTGAATCGTCAAATTTTCGAGGCAATCTGCCCCTGTGTCGAGACAAAATATTACCTAAATTACATCACATACATAGATCATAAAACAAATACAAGGCTATAAAGTAAAAATCTGAGAGTGGTAGTGCAAATTCAGGTGTGTCAATAATCCCTTTGGCCAGTGGACACCAAAGGCCCTTTACAAGGGATAAAAAAAACATCCCTTTTGTTGTTGTTTTATGGAAGATGGTTTTGCGCTAGAGGCACTGAGCGTATATGTGATCGCAACGAAAACAACTGCATGTCACACTCCAGGAAAGTAGTCTACCAGTGCAACTCTGTCACACTCTGAATAAGTAATTGTTTGATTAAAAATAAGAAAATTTATCATAAAAAAAGTTAATGAATATGTGTGTAGTAAAAATTAAATAGTAAAAAGTATTTTCATAAAAGTCACCACATAAATTTTTTTTTAATAATATTTTGAATATGGTCAAATAGGTCCCAGACTCGTCAACTTAGCAACTGAAAACTCACCCCATAAAATTAGAAGTTCTACATCCAAACTGTAGTTAATAATCAGCACCAATTCTAAACAGGAAGGAAAGCATTTTTATGAGGGTTTTGGTTTTCCTAGCTGTGATACTTATATACACATATTTATAGTATTAATTTATTCCTTATACATGTATATGCTATCATTTATTGTTAAAGAAAATGATCTCTCAAGCTGAAATAACTAATTATTGTCATAATTAAATAATGCAAATCTCCAGTGACATGTTTCATCAAAGACAAACCATTCACAAGCTTTAGTTTTGTTTTTTTTTTTTTTTGGGGGGGGGGGGGGTCAAATATTGCTCACAAATGTGAAAATATACCAGCTATCTTTTATCTAAATTTCAGCTTTTTTCATCTGGAATTTAGTTTAATTTTGATTTCATCAAATTTCAATTCCAATGTTTAATTACCCCAGAAACCAACAAAAGTCAGTATCAAATTTGAGTTTTGGATTACTTTGGTCCCCTGTGAGGTGAAAAACAAGAAATTGTTTAATCTGACAATCAGAAAGAACTTGTTCAAAAATGATCAAATTGACTTGAAATTCCATATGTAACGTAGATTTACATATTTTTGCAAGTAATTCAAGACATCTTGTTATGTGCATTTTTGCTGCTAAAAGCTTCATTCAATCGATATTTGTTTAGCTATTCTGGAGATTTCTAGGTCACTAAATCTTACTGTGGGTCATTAAGTCTTACTGCGAAACATTCTCTGTTTTAGTTATATAGCTGTATATTGTGCCTTTTATATAAAACTGACATTATTAGGGGCAAATCCATCTATTTGGGAGGGGGATTCTCAATAATTATCACTAGTTTTGTTAAAATGATGTTTTCTGGTTTGCCAGAAAAAAAATTATAATGCTTTCATAACACTGTATGATTAATCATTCAATTCAGCATGCAAAAAAAACATTGCCAAGTAAAGTCACTGACCAAGAAAACAAATTGAATTGACTTCTTTTAACTTCATAGCATCAAAATACAATTGTTCAAAATCAAAAAGCTGAATACAGTACTAAGAAATTTAGAAAGGATAATATTTATATGTTTAAAATTATCACTTAAAACTTAACACATTTCATGTGTAAAAAGTAGAAAATCTCTCATTTGAAAATTTACTGTGAAGTTATGTAATGGTTATTGTTGAGGAGAAAGAGATCCAGTTATATTCAGGAGATGAAAACTGACTGTTGATGATTGTTAAATATAGAAATTATAAAGTACTGGAAACCAACTTTCTTTCACGGCTACTTACTTTTGTGATTTTTCTTATTACAGCAAGTTAACGGCAATTTATTTTCAGGAAACAGAACGTACATTTGGAAATGTATACTAAATGTGTGTAATTCATGATAAAAATGGATTCAAAATTAACAGCACATATTGTAAATTGTTTTAAATATTTCATAAAAATTCCCTGCGAAAATCTTTGTTAATCACCTCCGAACATCTTATGTTATGGTGATAAACTTCATGGCTTTGTTGCAATTGTGAAATGTGTACAGTAAATTGCACAGGAAAGAAAATTGGTTAACAGTAATTAGTAGTTGTTGTGTAACTGTTATGTTTAACTTAATTGTTATAATAAAATGTTACAGAAAGAAAGTGTTGTGTTACTGATATCTAAGTTTATTTATGAAAACATCACCAAATCAGATTTTTTTTTCAATTTTCGCTTGACATTTAAAGTCATGACCTGCCTCTAACCGAAGGATTTCCAATTAAACATTCAGCACCTTGTTTCTTTTTGCCATCCCTACTGTCCTGTTGCTACGGCAATGCTGCAAACAGTATACAACCTCATAAAATGGCACGGGATATATCATAATATATTCAAAAATAAAAAAAAAATCGATTTTCATAAAATCTTAATAACCAGGTTTTGAATATTTGAAAATGTCTACCAAGAAGTGTCAAGAATGGATTTTGGGAAGGTTTGTACTTTAATGATATAACCCATTCTGATCATCAGGGCTGTTTCAGTAAAACGTCAATCCTGCTCAAGTATTTCAGGGTTTAATGATAGCGTATCATCCATATAATGGGCACCATCCTTAGCATTTAAAAGATAAATTGTTTAGGAGCAATAGGCTGGACACCATAGCAAGGATAGAAGTGATTTAATGTTGAGTCCGTCATCATGTAGATGTTTTACTGAAACTGTCCTTATTATGTATTGTAGCATTATTTTAGTAAATGTTGATCTGGATGCAAAACTGCAGATATTTCACAGAAAACAAACAATTTTTACTTAATAACATGTTGTTTTAATAAACACAAGTAAATTTTTCATATGAAGACAATCAAATATGGTATGAAGATCGCAAACTGTGATCAAATTCTGTGACGATAACAAGATATATAGAAAATCTCTAAAAATAAATTAAGTTGGTTATAAGTTTGAAAATGGTTTAAAATGGCACATTTATTTCACAGCCCAAGAGCTTTCAACTTCACAAATTGTCTACACTGTCCTTTTGTGACCTTGCTTGACCTTGGTCAGTGTACATACGTGGTCAGCACGTATCTTTTATTGTTAAAACATCAATGACAATAAGTGTGTATCATTCCAAAAGAAAGATTCATGGAGGGTCATCCAAGGTCATTTGTGCAAATGTCAATGGGAGTTCAAGGCCTACTACGGGTCCTACAGCACTCAACCAGGCAACAATGTAGTTACTGTGAAAAAAGATAAATTATCACCCAGTGTGTAATCTGTGAAAGATATTGTATTGTACATTAAATTTTTTTTAACACACAGCTATTACTGTTCAGTGATATCTCAACATCAGATCTGGAAATGCATCGAAGGACATATGATTAAAGTAACTTAAGGAAAATGAGGAAAAAAGTAAAATTTGAAATTCATGTGTAAGATAATGAAGTGAATGGTAAATAAAACAAGCATATCAAGTACAGGTCTTGCCAAAGCTAAATCCCTAGGGGGCTCCTGTAAACTATTGTAATCATTCCTGAGAATGGAGCCCAACAATTTGAAACAAATTCATTTATTTTCACAAATTGAATCCATAGCACTCACATTTGATCTCAACAAAACCACTGCAATGGGACTGTATCCATAACTCATTATCAAGAGGATGACAAACCATAAGAAAAAAAAGATGTTATGTCGTAAATATGCCTTAAATTTAAGAAACAAGAGGCTTATAAGACCTGTATTGTTCACCTGAATCTTAAAGCCTTGCAATGTTATACATGCTTATAAGTTGGGTATTTCAAATATTTCCAAATTAAAGCTGTCACTTAACCTCTTTGGTGGAGCAAGACCAATGGGTAAATTCTTACATCATGACTGATTTTCTCTATCAATTCACAGTAAGAGTTTATATGGCTATAGGGTTTGTCAACTATATGAACAAGGTATATTTTAAAAGAAATTGATAGATTTTCTCTATTGGGCCCTGCCACTCTGGCCCCAGGGGGCCCTGAGACCCATCATTTATACAAAAACAGATTTCCCTTCACCCAAGCATGCTTAAGACCAAATTTTAACAATATCCTGCAATTCCTAATGAACAAGATGGATTTTGAGGAAATTGATAGATTTTCCCTATTAGCCCCAGCCCATCTTGCCCCAGGGGGCAGAGACCCACCACTTATACAAAACTGATTTTTCTTCACCCAAGTATGCTTCAGACCAAATTTGGACAATATCCTACAGTTTCTTAAGAACAAGATAGATTTTAAAGAAATTGAAATTGTTTGATTTTCCCTACTGGTCCCCAAAACTGCTTCAGACAAAATTAATTAAAGTCCACTCTGTCGTTCATGAATATTTGCAATATATTGTAAAAGTTGACAGATGAAAGTCAATGGACAACTGATGCAGGAAGATGGGCCGCCCAATCTAAAAAATAAGCAAGTTTCACAAAACAGCAGCAGTGACAGACCCTAAAGGACATTTTTGTTGAGTATAAGAATCTCAAACAATTACAAAGTCGGTGGTATAGTAAGCATATAGATGTTTATCTATTGACTATTTATCTGTTGATTATCTATTAATTATTTACATCAACTTATATGTCCTATCTGCCTTTTGGCAGAAAAGGAATAATTGGCAATTAAAAAGCTTCAACCAAAACCTAAAACCAAGGTTTCTAATGGACAGACAAATGGATGGTTGGACAGAGGGATGCAGACAAAAACTAGTCCACCAGTATTCTGGTAGGGAATTAATAAAGGATGTTTTATCAAAGTGTAAGTGTGTAATTAGAGGTGATGTAGAGTGATATATAGAATACCTTATCTTTTCTGGAGGAGAGAGACTTGTCACCTGTTCCATCAGATCTGCAGTGTGACATGGATGGAGGTGGAAGTATGGTCGTCCAAGGATTGGATGTTCCTGTTTGAAAGAAGTCATCTGTACATCTATAACTGATACACAAGAGGGACCTGACAAGTTAGTGATGTCTCTTGGTTCCAGCAATGGGAGAATTGTCCATAATGTTTTGTTTAGATTTGCCTTTGACTGGCATGTTTCTTTGTCTACATGTTGGTTTGTTTGTTGAACATCTTTTCAACAGCTGAGGTTGTATGAAAAAGAATGTCTGTAGAAACAGGACAGAGTCAGTAAGGTACAGAAGATGGAGGGTACATAGTATTAATAGAGAAGATTCAGACTGGTTTCCTCAATATTCCAAAGGAAGACCATACACACAGAAAAGACCATACACACAGAAGAAAAGCCCCCATTTCTATAGAGAGCTTGTTGGGACATGTAGTGACGGACAGCAGACTTATTCTATGCACAATACAAGGCATATTCAATGATTGTTTAATATATTATGATGATGGGATGATGGGTTGTCTCAAAAATCTTACCAATATATTGTATTTATTCACAAATAAGCACTCTTCTTCAGGGAATCATTGATTTTAAAATAGCCAAAAATGGTCAAAAACAAGTCCCAAAATTTCCAACTTTTTTACAAGAATGGAGGGGGATTATTGGAGGAAAAAATATCATTAACAGATGAACTCCCCTTCCTTAACTGTAACTACAAAACTCAACTCAAAATATCTTTTAATAATTTCATTTGATGATCCATGGGATGTGGTGTAACACTCCCTACTCATGGCCATTTGTGTTTCTCAGAAGTTGAGAAGCAAGAGGTCTTTGAGATACGGTTGTTTCCTTGGGCATGACACTTTACTCTAATTGCTCTAGACAGATAATGATGATGATGGTCGCCGGGCAGAGTCCAATCGACGTGTGTCGATTCTCTGGTGACATGTGCTCTAGACAGCATGTGATGGGCCTTTCATTTTTTGTCAAATGAGGTAACCATCAGATCCTACAAAGGTGACCCTGCTTCTAAATTATCTTGTTAGCTGAGGGGCCAATAAACCCAGTGTAGCATAAAATAAAGAAACTTTGTCTTTTCCTGGATTTAAGTCAGGATGATGTACCCAAAGTAATTGTCAGCTTTCCCCGAAGTATTGGCTAATTTTTTGGGGGGGTTTTGGGGGGTTTTTTTAGTAATTACTCCATATAATGAAAATATTTAATGTAATTTTGCAACATCATTTTGATTAGACGGTGCAGCATTATCATTATAAACATCAAAAATATTGCTATCTGTCATTAAATTAGAAGCATTATCTTAAATTACTCTCCATACTTTTGATCCATAACACAAAAAAGGGTGTTCTATTGACATATAGTTCTATATTTTCCAGGTATCCATTCATTTATTTATCTATTGAATGAGTTTTAGGTCTGCAATTATATTTCTAGCTTTTCTGCTTATCTGAGACCTGTAATAAATTTCTAACCACATGTAGATTATATTTTTATCAACATTTCATCATGGAATTCATAACTGCAACTGATGGCCACATAAAATTAACAGCAGTATTTACTTTTGTAAACAAACCATGCTAAACAGTGATTTGATCACCAGAACGAACCGTAGTCACTCTTAAATACCATCTTTTTTATCTACTGATGTTTAACAAGTAGCTTACCCGAGTATGTGAGTTTCTTCCATGCTTGACCTGGTTTTATTACATAACAATTTTAACTGGGTATACAGGATGACAATGGTGTACTTGGCTTACTGTCCTCAGGTATCCTGTTTACCTGACATCACAGGTGTATAGAGACCTACATGTATAACCTACCTGTATACCAAACAACAGAATGAACTAGTTATTGTAATTAGTTATGTATTAAGATCAGAGACTTGCCTGAGGCTGTGAGGGTAGACACAAGATGATAAGACAATTTACCTGTCTAGTTCAATTTAACAATTCATACCAAATATATGAAAAGATAAAAGAAACGACTGAGTGTTAGCACAGTTATCCCGTCCTAGTTATTGTCCCTCCTTATTCAACCTACTGTAATAAAAATCAAAATTAAGCAACTATGTTGTCACCAGAACAAGGACGTTCATTGGTGAGCGGATACCCCAACACGGGAGGAGTCACGGAGACAGAAAACCTGTCAATCAATCAGCAACTAACGAAGGTTAGAGAGATGAGGTGTGACGTAGTGGTTAGTGGTATTACTGTATAACAGTAGTAGAATGGTGGCAGCCATACTGGAGTACAGCAAGAGATCACAAATATATAGTAAAGACTCACTTGTGTGGAACACACTTAAATAGAACATGTGGCAGAGACGATATTTCGTTATTACATGTTTTTATTATATCAATACATATATACGTTATAGCGTCCGTCTATTAATTTAAATATTCGTTTCCCTTTATTTTGGCCTTGGTGTATGTTTAAGGTATTTCTATTTCTTGATTGGTCAGTTTCTGATAATCCCGTCTGTACCTCTTTCCTTAGCCAATGGTCAGTGTTTTCTTTGTCGTTATTGTATTTTGGTCATTTTTGGCATGCTATTCAGCACTCTGTCCATAGGCACTTGACTGACAGGATGGAATATTGACAGGTAAGACATTTACTAATTTTCACTAAATTAACTGTGCAATTACTAATTCATTTGCTTCCTTTGAAAGTATATTCGATTTGTGTAATCGTGGTCGGATTTATATATGTACCGGTAACGCTATATGGTTTTTTTTAATTTACTGTATTGTGTTTGTTTTTTATGCAGATTACTGTTACTTATTAGTACTATATCGTCGGCTGTACAGTGATTCCACCGCCCTATTCCACAAATGGGTACGCTCTTAAAAGTCTGATGTATATTTAATTTATTGTGTTTTTAACGATCTGTTCTGTATGTACATGGATGATAAGATTTGCAATATTCTTTATATATAATTATGCTCAATATAGCATGTAACTATTATATTTGAAACTGTAAATCTAGTTAAAGTATTTGTAATTTTAATAGTTCTATACCTACATGTATAAGCGAACAGCTTGTTATCAAAATATTTATATTGTGCTGTATATGTGCGATATCTACAAAGTAATTTATGGTAAAGCCATCGCTAATGATTGTTATATATTGTTACAGGGTGATAAATGTAGTTTTATCAATAAATCGGAGAACCCTTTACAAGTGTGTTTGTTGGTGTTTAAACTGGCAAAGATCTACACTGCTACAAACACATCAGATAAGTTGAATGTTTTGTTTCAGTCCCGAATTTTTCTTTATCTTAGTAAATTAAACCCTGACGACTTGAACACTGTTGAGTCCAATACTGCATTTTTGTCGAATATATATACTGGTTGATCCCTTCATAATTCTACCAAAATTTCCTTTTTTCTATCAAACATTCAGGCATCATCGTGTCTCAAATAAAATTTCCTGGCTTCAGTTCGAATGACTGAATGTGTTTGTTGAGTTGTATTTGTGTTAACGAGCCCTATTGTACTTTTCGATCAAACGTTAATCCTTGTGTTTACACAGGTACACAGGGGAAAGTTTGAATTTAAACAGCATTAGGCAACAAAAATTAAAACAAAATACATTGTAGTCTGTTAACCATAAATCTTCTGTGTGTTATGTCCACTTTTTTTTACGTGCATGGCTGATCAAAACCAAAAGGAAAAAAACTGGAGACAACTACCACACCGATAAAGATTAATAAAAATACTAGTTTGTCATTGACACATTTGTTCATGATTATAAATACACTTACTTGATATACATGTACATATACAAAGTTTTATTTTATCCTATTTTACAGTTATGCTCTTACAGTGCTGTACGTTATGCTTCAGTGATGCTGCCGTAGCCTTCATCTTTTGGTAACCTACCTCAGTGCTATTGATGTTATGTATCTATCGTGTTTTATTTTAAATTATTGTTGACGGTACTTATTACTCTTAAGGACATAAATGTAAGTACAATATTTGTTGTACTTTAGGTGTCAATTTCACTAAGTTGTGTGTATTAGAGAAGGTGCATATCCACGCATTTTACATTACATTTTTTGTTTCATATCTTCATACTTAAATCTGTTTATTGAAATGAAAAATATTGTTAGCACATAAAATTACAAAACGTTTTTACTTTATAACTTATTTATTACTGTGGCGTTGTGCTATGAAACATGTATCCAGTTAACAATCAATGAGAATAAGGTCAATCATCGATGCTCAATGTCTAAGTTGAACCATCGGTTAAGTCAAATATTTCATTTGGTCCCGTCGACTTCCACTTTACTGTGTTTTACTGTACTTGTCAAACTCAGGCACAATTACGACAATTAATTCATATCTGGAACCTTCATATCAACATACACCAGTGTATATATTATGTATTGTGTTGATTTATTTGCATGTACATGTATATATAGTGAACTGCCTAAATTTTTTTTCTTGCATTATTTCTTCAAAGAGCTTCATAAAGTGTTTTTTACTGTCTTTTCCATAACCAGTAGAAGGTAAAGTTTTCGAAAGCATATTTGTTCTTTATGTCATAAAACATTTTTAATTTTCAAGAAATTACACTAGTGTTGGGACATAAGTGGCAGACATAATCAGTTATTCTTTTTGTTTGTGTTGTATCGTTCCTGTATTAGTGTCAAATGTAATAAAATGTTGTAAACCAAATATTTCCACTCATTTTACCTTACAACTTTACTTTCCTGCATATTTACAATGGCCGCCACTATGCAGCATCTCTCTAAACTTGTGGTTTTAAATCCACCATTGCCGCCAATCTGACAAGAATTTTTTTTTTGGTAGGTTTACAGCCACAGCTCTAGTGAAATTCCGATGAGGGTAAGTGATAAAGACAGGCAGACGCCTTGACCATTCTGCCCATAGAATAACTCCAAGAAGCCATATTGACTACTTTTTAGTCATTATGATATAAAATTTGGTAGTTAAAACCATTATTTTATGTTCCTTTTTCAAATTTTAGAATATCAATAGGTGTGTCAGAGACAGATGATGTTGCATAAACTAACGACAAGAATTCAAATCATGACAATTCAGATTTTATATAGTCTCTAGATGTTCCAAAAAAAGAAAAAAGTTTTTTTTTTTCTACATTTGAAAAAACAGCCAAATCAAAAGGATATCTTTATTTTTTTCTACTTTTCTTTTTGTTTATTTCCATATATGTCTACTTCAATTAAAGTATTTACCTGTTGTGAAAGGAATGTCCATCTATCATGCTCTAGTCGATCGCGGTAAACATCTGGTACACGATCCCACACCTCAGCCAGACTCAACAAACTGCCATCTGTTTGGGAAAAATATCACATGGCATATGAATAATTCAGGATATTGACGAAGCCAGCTCAGTCTGTCAGAATGACATCCGAGACATTTTACACACATTTTCGTAACCAAACAACATAAGTAGTGGGTAACTATGACTTACTTACATGGTGCCAATAAAAATCAATCTGAAATAGTATATTATTACAATCAATCATGATCAATTTCAGACCATATTAGGTATTTCATCCTAATTCATATAAATATATTAACATTTCCAGAGTGTATACTCTATTTGGCCTTACCAACATGTCTGACCACTTTACACTTTAGATAAAAATTAGTGTGAATCTGCTATTGTGTTTCTTCTAATTTTTTTAATTCATTTTGTATAAACTAGAAAACTCAAAGCAATATTTAAATAGAAATGTAAATATTTAAAATATTTCACAAAAATATGATAAAAATATGGTGTTGTTGTGAAACTATTTTCTGTTTACATCCTGCAGTTGACAAACTTTCTCATAAAATTGGAATCAGCTGTTTTGTTATTCAATCAGATGTGCTGTTCCATCAGTGCATATAATGGCCATTGACTGAGGATCATTTAAGGAACAAAAATAAAGAAAAACAATCTTTTATAATAAAAATATTGGAAAAACAACATAATCTACTACATCTAAAATATCTGTTTAAAAAAATGCATTTTACACACCAGTAAATCAAAAAGAAAAGAAAAAACATTTCTGAAATATATTCAATCAAACATGCTATTGACCTGAAGTCAATTTCATAATGAGGTCAGTCAATGTGTTTAATATCTACATATAGCAAAGAGAAATTTGCAATCATATTTTGTGGTTGGGGTTAAGATAAATCAATTTCATTCACCAATCAAATGTTGTGTTACATCTCAAATAAATTAGACTGAATGTTTCATACAGTTAGATAAATGATGGCTACATCACCTGCTTTGTACACGTTGAAATAGAGTACAGGTACATTGTAGCTACGGCTATATACAATATTGTACTCATACACCAAGGAAACAAGGGATGCTGTGGTGTCACTGGTCATCAAATGAATCCCACTGCTAGCAGATAGTGTAGAGTTATCTGCCCCTGACACAAGACAGCCACCATCTTCCTCTTCTACATTGGTGATCTGAGGTAATAGAGTAAAAGTTGAATAAAAAGAGGCCCATGGGCCATAACAGTGTGAGAGAGATTAAAGAAATCAATCAATCAGGTTGCAGCAACCTCATTAAATATGCACAGAATTTGGCATTATCTAAATTGGGCAAGGAATTAAGGTAACAGGTGTACCAAACAAATTTCTTGACAATCCTACAAATATTTTAAAAGATGCGGAAAGCAGCATCCAGACGGAGAAAGGACAGACTTTGTTGGGTGGGGCAACTGATTATGTCACAATTAGCATTTTTAGCGTTGTATCTTAAGCACAAAATGTGTTAAAATCAGGTAACTGTTCAAATATGTACAGTATTTCTTTTATGCCTTGAACATTAAGACTTACTTACAAAGGACTGAAATTTTTCAGTTAATTAAATTGATTAACAAGAGTTTGCTGATCAACATATAGAATATCTTCAACTATTTTGATAAAACAATATACTTTTTAACATGTGTCAATTCATCTTAAATAATGTGAGTTAAATAACTAAGATATATAGGCTTACAGTGTCACTGTCGTTTACAATTTGGGAGTGTGTCATACTGTCTTCAGTAGAAGAAACTGACCCATATGCTTGGTCAGTCTGTTTGTTGTCCACTACACTGACCCGCTTGTACAGGTAAACCTCCGTCTTGTCAAACTGTAAAATAAAAAGTAAAACAGACCTAGATTTTCAGTGATGACATAAGACAATAAGATGGCATCTGAAAGACAAAACAACTGTTTTTATTTGAAGTTGATATCTCCAGTCAAACCTGTCCTTAAAAGCCATCTTTGTACATAGGTCTATAAAGGCCACTTTTTTGGTTCCTATGTAATATAATTAATAGTAATTGATACTCTATATAAAGGCCACCTGTGTATAAAGGCCACTTTTCTCTATTTCCTTGAGTGACCTTAATAGTCAGTTTTGAATTTATGTATTTATACTTGTAAAACAGTCATCATTTACAAAAGTTGCTTTCAACATTTTTAATTTTTATTATTTCACTATTACTCTAAGAAAAAACGATTTTTATTTAATTTATATAAAACATTAATTCCGATTTATCATGATTGTTATTCAGCTCATATAACATGTAATATTTTTGCACTTTTGCACATGTGACTTTTATAACTTACTGTAATGCTAAGCTAATGAAATGTCATATATCACACATTCACAGAATGTATTGTGTCAAAAAAAATGGAGACCATAGGTAAAGAACCAAAATGACTTCAAACTGACAAGAGAAATATCTGTTTTCTTCCATATTATCCTTAATCTTTGATCATCTGATAAAAAGGACTTAAATTTGTTTCCATTTGATATCTGATTTATGAAACTTGTCATTGTAATTTTCCTTTGAAAAAATTTCTTAGACTCCTTCAAAAATTACACAAGAAAAACAATCACACTCAACAAACAGCAAAACATTTTTCTTAAATCCTTTGAAAATTTTTTTGTATATATAACAGCACTTATTTGATCTTTGTTAATTCAATACTTTACGAGACCTAACATTAGTAAACTACTAATGCACATGACCTATAATTTATCAACCATTTACGTTAAAAGATAATTATCTATTTTTTTAACAACCTCAGTTGTCAGCAGAATATGACATATGATGACAGTTACCAAGGGGAGTAACTCCTTCAATCCTAACCTGAAGATGGTTCTGTAGCCATACAATTGCTGTTTTTTTGTCTGTGTTAACATTAATATACAGAAAAGATATTTCTGTTAAGGAACGATACCTCTGAATAGTCCTAAGTAGAACAGTATAACACTGATACAATATTGATAGTACAAATTCTGTTAACAAATTTACCATGTACAAGTTACAATAAATAAACTTCAATCAAAATGTATATCCCCCAGAATCCTTCAGGTTACATTGTATATCCCTCAGGATACAATGTATATCTCTCAGGTTACCTTCTATATCCCCCAGGTTACAATGTATATCCCTCAGGTTACCTTCTATATCCCTCAGGTTACAATGTATATCCCTCAGGTTACCTTCTATATCCTCAGGTTACAATGTATATCCCTCAGGTTACAATGTATATCCCCCAGGTTACAATGTATATCTCCCAGGTTACAATGTATATCCCCGGGTTACAATGTATATCTCCCAGGTTACAATGTATATCCCTCAGGTTACCTTCTATATCCTCAGGTTACAATGTATATCCCTCAGGATACAATGTATATCTCTCGGGTTACCTTCTATATCCCCCAGGTTACAATGTATATCCCTCAGGTTACCTTCTATATCCCCCAGGTTACAATGTATATCCCTCAGGTTACCTTCTATATCCTCAGGTTACAATGTATATCCCTCAGGTTACAATGTATATCTCCCAGGTTACAATGTATATCTCCCAGGTTACAATGTATATCCCCGGGTTACAATGTATATCTCCCAGGTTACAATGTATATCCCTCAGGTTACCTTCTATATCCTCAGGTTACAATGTATATCCCTCAGGTTACAATGTATATCCCCCAGGTTACAATGTATATCTCCCAGGTTACAATGTATATCCCCGGGTTACAATGTATATCTCCCAGGTTACAATGTATATCCCCCAGGTTACAATGTATATCTCCCAGGTTACAATGTATATCCCTCAGGTTACAATGTATATCTCCGAGGTTACAATGTATATCTCCCAGGTTACAATGTATATCCCCCAGGTTACAATGTATATCTCCCAGGTTACAATGTATATCCCCGGGTTACAATGTATATCTCCCAGGTTACAATGTATATCCCCCAGGTTACCTTCTATATCCCTCAGGTTACAACGTATATTTCCAAGGTTACAATGCATATAAATTAGGTTACAATGTTTATCCCTCAGGTTACAATGTATATCTCCGTGTTACAATGTATATCCCCCTGGATACAATGTATATTCCCCAGGTTACAATGTATATCTCCCAGGATACTATGTATATCCCCCAATATACAATGTATATCCCTCAGGTTACAATGTATATTCCCCAGGTTACCTTCTATATCCCTCAGGTTACAATGTATATCCCCCAGATTAAAATGTATATTCCCCAAGTTACAATGTCTATCCTCAGGTAACAATGTATATCCCTCAGGTTACCTTCCATATCCCCCAGGTTACAATGTATATCCCCCAGGCTACAATGTATATCTCAGGTTAAAATGTATATCCCCCGGGTTACAACGTATATCCCTCAGGTTACAATGTATATCCCCCTGAATACAATGTATATTCCCAAGGTTACAATGTATATCTCCCAGGTTACAATGTATATCCCCAGGATACAATGTATATACCTCAGGTTACAATGTATATCCCTCAGGATACAATGTATATCCCTCAGGTTACAATGTATATCCCTCAGGTTACAATGTATATCCCTCAGGTTACAATGCATATCCCTCTGGTTACAACGTATATCCCTCAGGTTACAATGTATATCCCTCAGGATACAATGCACATCCCTCAGGTTACCTTCTATATCCCTCAGGTTACAATGTATATCCCTCAGGTTACCTTCTATATCCCTCAGGTTACAATGTATATCTCTCAGGATACAATGTATATCCCTCAGGTTACAATGTATATCCCTCAGGTTACAATGTATATCCCTCAGGTTACCTTCTATATCCCTCAGGTTACAATGTACATCCCCCAGGTTACAATGTATATCCCCCAGGTTACAATTTATATCCCTCAGGTTACAATGTATATCCCTCAGGTTACCTTCTATATCCCTCAGGTTACAATGTACATCCCTCAGGTTACAATGTATATCCCTCAGGTTACCTTCTATATCCCTCAGGTTACAATGTACATCCCCCAGGTTACAATGTATATCCCTCTGGTTATCTTCTATCTCCCAGGTTACAATGTTTATCCTCAGGTTACAATGTATATCCCCAAGGTTACAATGTATATCCCTCAGGTTACAATGTATATCCCCAGGTTACAATGTATATCCCAGGTTACAATGTATATGTATATCCCCAGGTTACAATGTTTATCCTCAGGTTACAATGTATATCCCCAAGGTTACAATGTATATCCCTCAGGTTACAACGTATATCCCTCAGGTTACAATGTATATCCCCAAGGTTACAATATATATATCCCCCAGGATACAATGTATATCCCTCAGGTTACAATGTATATCCCCAAGGTTACAATGTATATCCCCAGGATACAATGTATATTCCCCAGGTTACAATGTATATCCCAGGTTACAATGTATATCCCTCAGGTTACAATATACATCCCCCAGGTTACAATGTATATCCTAGGTTACAATGTATATCCCTCAGGTTACAATGTATATCCCCAAGGTTACCTTCTATATCCCCCAGGTTACAATGTACATCTCCCAGGATACAATGTATATTCCCCAGGATACCATGTATATCCCTCAGGTTACAATGTACATCCCCCAGGTTACAATGTACATCCCCCAGGATACAATGTGTATTCCCCAGGATACCATGTATATCCCTCAGGTTACAATGTACATCCCCCAGGTTACAATGTATATCCCTCAGGTTACCTTCTATATCCCTCAGGTTACAACGTATATCCCCCAGGTTACAATGTATATCCTCAGGTTACCTTCTATCTCCCAGGTTACAATGTTTATCCTCAGGTTACAATGTATATCCTCAAGGTTACAATGTATATCCCTCAGGTTACAATGTATATCCCCAAGGTTACAATATATATCCCCCAGGTTACAATGTATATCCCTTAGGTTACAATGTATATCCCCAAGATTACAATATATATCCCCCAGGATACCATGTATATTCCCCAAGTTACAATGTATATCCCCAAGGTTACCTTCTATATCCCCCAGGTTACAATGTACATCTCCCAGGATACAATGTATATTCCCCAGGATACCATGTATATCCCTCACGTTACAATGTATATCCCCCAGGTTACAATGTATATCCTCAGGTTACAATGTATATCCCAGGTTACAATGTATATCCCCCAGGTTACAATGTATATCCCGAGGGTTACAATGTATATCCCCCAGGATACAATGTACATCTCCCAGGATACAATGAATATCCCCCAGGATACCATGTATTTCCCTCAGGTTACAATGTATATCCCTCAGGTTACAATGTATATCCCTCAGGTTACAATGTATATCCTCAGGTTACCTTCTATATCCCCCAGGATACAATGTATATCCCTCAGGTTACAATATATATTCCCCAGGTTACAATGTATATCCCTCAGGTTACAATATATATCCTCAGGTTACAATGCATATCCCTCAGGTCACAATGTATATCCCTCAGGTTACAACATATATCCCCCAGGTTACAATGTATATCTCCAAGGTTACAATGTATATCCACCAGGTTACAATATATATCTCCCAGGATACAATGTATATCCCCAGGTTACAATGTTTATCCCTCAGGTTTAATGCATTCCCAATCTAAGGCATTTCCAGTCAATGTTATTAAAATTTAGTTAAGCAAGATATAAAAATTAATCCAATGAAAGGAAAGAGCATGCATAGGTACATGTTAAAGCATGTGTTACTCCTATATTTTCATGGCAAAATTTCTAATCTTTCTGACAGAACCTAAATTCCTCCAACAGAGTTTCAACTAAACTTAA